AAGACAAAAAAACTTTAATTAAATTAGATGAGTTTCTAGTGTATGTGAACTATGTAGTATTAATATATAGCAGGAGGACAAAAAACAAATGAACGGGGAAATGGAGATGATGATGATGAGTAATGAAATTGTTGATAAATTCCTAACAATACGTTCATTGGAATGGCAAATTTATAAGTTGTCGTTTGAAATGTCACTTTTTTTTTAAATCTAATTTTGACAGAGAATTATTTAATTTTTGTATAATTTGAAATGTCACTTTTTTTGAAATCTAATTTTGACAGTGAATTATTGAATTTTTGTATAATTTGAAATGTCACTTTTTTAGAAATCTAATTTTGACAGTGAATTTTTGTATCATTTGAAATGTCACTTTTTTAGAAATCTAATTTTGACAGTGAATTATTGAATTTATGTATCATTTGAAATGTCACATTTTTAGAAATCTAATTTTGACAGTGAATGATTGAATTTTTGTAATAAACAAAAGTTTCTGTATTTGATTCACAATCTAATAATTGCCCTAATACATTTAACGTTAAAATTATATAAAGTCACTTTTATTCACCTGTGTATCAATATGTCATTTTTTGACACTTGAAGAAATATGAAATTTACAGTAAACTCATTATTTACGTCAAATTTGACAAAAATAATTTTACAATTTGTTGCCCGGAGAAATGGGAACATCTTTTGTTCGATTATGAAAACCGGAAACTACTGTAAACTTTAATTTAATTAGATGAGTTTCTAGTGTATGTGAACTATGTAGTATTAATATATAGCTGGACAAAAAACAAATGAACGGGGAAATAGAGATGATGATGATGAGTAATGAAATTGCTAATGATTGTCGGTGAATGCAGAGGGTGCAATAAGTTTCGATTGTAAAAGCAAATTAATGTTAATGGTGGAAAGTCGGAGCCGAAGCACAACAAATAAATATAAATGTGCGGTTGGAGTGGAATGAAGTGAAGTGGTGAGACGGAGGAGCGCGCGTCCGTCCGTATCAAAAAATTGTGTATTTGATGATTATTCGACGCGGAGTGTATTTTATTGTGCGGCGCTGTATAAATACCGTCACTATCTGCCGCCAAAGGGGTTCTCCCCTGATAACATTTTATATAAATATATATAAAAACACTATTTGTGTTTCGGGTCTGTAGTGTGGAAAGGAGTGAGATATAAGCTACGTATGTTGTAGTATATATATACATACATATATACTCTCTCACATGTAGTCTGTATATATATATATATATATATAAAACGAGTGCCAATTCTTTTAATGCCCCGACGCATCAAAGCAGGCCGCTCGACACGATATCAAATCTATATTTATAAAAGATCCTCAATAAAAAAAACAACACACACACACACGCCTACAAACGTTTACATAAAAATGAGAGGAGGAAAAAACACATTTTCCATTAAAAAAAAAAGTTAACGACGCTTATATCCGTCGTCGAGAATCAACTTTTTTTTTCCTCCATGTTAACTAATTAACGAGCTTAAGACTTTATTTGCTTTACAGAGGATAACGATGATGTTCGTCTCGTGAATTGCTTCGACCGAGACGATAAGACGATTCACAAATATTTGCGTTCCCAAAAAAGAAAAAGAGATCATTAATTTATGTACGCCGTAACCGTAACCTGGTTCGTTATCAACAGAAAGAAAGAATATTAACTCAGAATTATGCACTTTGCGGTATGGATGAGGTTGAGGCACTTTGGGAAGAACTTAAAAATTGAAGATTTCAAGTGCCCCACGTTGGGCGCCAAAAACTATGATATATATCGATGAAAAGAAAAGTAGTTTAAAGTGGATGTGCTGTGCCAAAGCAATTTTTGTTAAATCTAAACTTCAATCATTCAAACTATTAATTCGTATTGTCATTTTTGACACTTTTAATGTCACTTTCATCGAATCTCATTTGTTGTCATTTATTTATATAATCGAGCGTGTACATGTCACATGACACTTCTTGTGTTTTACAAAAGTTGTTTTGGAACGTCAAATAGACGCCATCTGAGATTCCATTTACAATCATTACTAAATAGATTCTTTAAAGAAGTAATTCAAATAACAAATATTTGAGAAATGCTTATTCCGAAGCAGCAAAATTCAAACTTTGGAAATATTCTTAAGTTTGTAAAAAGTGATGAGAAGAAAGCTCGTTAAATTAGATGAAGTAAGTTTATTTTTTTCGATCGTCGATCATTATAGATAGTTGCGGGGGGGCTTCGATGCCCGGAACTCTTAAGAGAAGTTTAGAAGAACGGAGCGACGTGATTTGTTGTTGTTCTGAGCGGAACACGCAAATATGTATGATCGTGCTGACGTGGCCTTGGATCGTCGTTATGCAACGCTATTCAATTATCCGGGAACGCGCTCTCGGTGCCTTTGATCCAAATATAATGAACACACGTTTACTTGCCTGTGCTATTTCCAGTGGTGATTAGGGTCCTGGGGATTTCGCGAGAGAGAAAGCAAGT